CAGATACTACCTGAAAATTGTTGCTGTCTTCTCCGGAATTTCATATTTTCCATTCAACTTGGACTCCACAACAGCATGGCTTCTCCTCCTACTCTCTTTTCTGATGCTCTTTACTTCCAAATTAAGGCAAAATACGCATGCTTTGTTTAACCAAACCTATTTAAAGCTATTTTTTCTTAAGCTGTCACCTAGACAATTAATTTAGCTGGCCTAAGAATGTGAATTTATGACTGTGGTAATCAAGCTTAAGAAGTAACAGCAGTAGGGAGGCAAGTTCTCATCTCTTTTCCTGGGCAGGCTCAACCAACTGGAGACAAGAGCATTCCTGATATTAACCACTCCACTCTTGCTAAGCACTTAACAGATTTTTGTCCTAAGTTAATTTTCTGAAATGACTATACAGTGTGCAGTCTCTACGTTTTAGAAAATGGCTTTAGGGTGTATCACAAAACCTAACACAAACATATTGACAATATATTTTAATGAATAAAAGATGGAACATTATTAAACCCTATAGCGTGCTGCTAGTATTTTTAAACTTTTTAAGAAGAAGAGCTGCTCACATCCAGAATCATTCTTTTAAATTTGACCTGCGTCATTATTTGGCATCTCACTTGTAGTTTTTAACCCTGCCTTTACAAGACACCAAATGAAATTATTAAATAACTTATTCTAAAAAGACAACTGGAAATTCTTAGTTGACTACCAGGATGGACCTTAAATCTTGATATAGGCCTGAATAAATATTTAAACCACAACTTTATATTCTGTTTTGATAGCATTACAACTGCAAATAACTGAAAAACACAGGAAATAAATGGCGCTTTCAGCCTTTGTGTCTCCAGGTTGAAATTTGTTAGAACAAAAGAAAAAGCATCTTATTGCCTTTACACCTCAATTAGCTATCTTGAGAACCAACCTCAGCTTTCAGCATCCCAGAATTTTTTCAGCCAAACACTGTAGAATCTTCTGAACAACAAACATTATCATCTGTCTGATTTCCACAGTCTTCTTCCACTCTTCTCTATGTTCATCACACACAGTGTCATCCTTAGCTCCCACAAAAAATTACTGCACCATAAGAGGAAATCACCACAACTGTAGTTTCTTTCCATACCATTACTCAGCGGAGTCTCATAGTAAAGACAGATATTTCCAACTGTCCTGGAACATTCTGAAAGAATGTGGACTAGGGCATGGCACATCTCCATGTTAATTTAAATTATACATATTATCTTATAGACCAAATTTTGGGGGGGGAAAAAACAGTAAGTTTTTTAGCTTCTTGGGGATAAGGAAGGAATTACTGGTATAGCAAAATAGCAACTTAGAGACCAGGCAGTTCAACTTTGTCATCAAATAAAGCAAGACTGTCTTTTCAAGTAATTCAAGAAAACACAATGTTAGATTTGAAAGCTCTCAGGATCAAATTCCAGGTTTTTAAACAAAACATTTACCATTTATCAAATTGGATAAACCCTTTATTTTCTGTTAGGACTGCAATTTCCTGTCTTAGGAAACAAAAACAATTTAAAAAACCCAGAAATTTGGTTCAATTTTTAATATTCTAGAATCATGCACTTCAAAGAAAAACTTCTTCAAAGAGAGCACAACAAACTTTGCTCCCTGTCCCTAAATCTTAAAAGAGGATGAAGAGATAATCAGTCGTTGAACAGATTAAAGAAGAGAGACTATGTTCTACATATTTTGCCTGAAAATTTACAGTCCCTGTAGAAACGAAGAAATAAAACCTGGCTTCATTATCATCTTTGGAGACAACCAGCACAGTAAAAACTAGCACCATCTATGACCTCAAGGAAGAGTAGTACTTCAACGAAACAGAAACATAGCTACATAGTCAGCATCTGTTTCACATAAATGCTTGGCTGCTGAATATAAGAACCTTAACCAGTATAACTTCTCCTGTGTTTTAAATAGTGGCTGTTAATATGTTACTGTATGATAACATATGACGATTTTTGTTACTTAAGCCTAAAAAGAAGCAATAAAAATTAAAACTATATAGAATTTCACTTTGTAAATAACATGTAACAATAGAAGTAGGTGTTAAGAAAAGATGCCTTCCCTCAAGTTTCCAAGCCCTTCACAGTAAAGAGAAATTATTTAAAAATAGCATAATGACTGAAAACAAAAGCCAGGAATAAGACAAAAAACTGCAGCAATCAGGCAAAACAAGGGCGTCTCTTCAACATCAGAAGCAGAAATTCCAAAATAAAATGTAACAGTAATGTCTTGGCATGACAAATGTGAAATGTTTTATTTTCATATAGGAGCAGGAGAGAAACCATGCCTAGTCCAGAAATCTCAGGTTTTACCCTCATCAAACAGGAATATGTTTCTCAGCTAAAAGGTTAAATGCTGACTAGAGAATCACAGAATGATTTAGGTTGGAAAAGACCTCTAAGATCATCAAGTACAACCTTTGACCTATCACCACCTTGTAAAGTAGATCATGGCACTAAGTGCCACGTCCAGTTGTTTCTTGAACACCTCCAGGGATGGTGACTCCCTCAGCAGTCATTTCAATGTTTAACAACTGTTTTCATGAAGAAATTCTTCCTGATGTCCAGCCTGAAACTCCCCTGGTGCAGCTTGAGTCCATGTCCTCTCATCCTGTTTCTGGCTGACAGGAAGAAGAGAGTGCCCCCCACCAGGCCACAGCCTCCTTTCAGGCAGCTGTGGAGAGTGATAAGGTCACCTCTGACCTTGTTTTTCTCCAGACTAAACACCCCTTCAGCTGAGGAGTTTCCTCAGCTGCTCCTCACAGCACTTGTGCTCCAGACCCTGCCCCAGCTCCCCTGCCCTTCTCTGGACTCACTCCAGCCCCTCAGTGTCTTTCCTGCAGTCAGGGCCCAGAACTGGACACAGCACTCCAGGTGTGGCCTCACCAGTGCCCAGGACAAGGGGACAATCCCTGCCCTGCTCCTGCTGGCCACACTATTGCTGAGCCAGGCCAGGATGCCATTGGCCTTCTTGGCCACCTGGGCACAGCCTGGCTCATGTTCAGATGCTGCCACCAGCACTCCCAGGTCCTTTCCAGCCACTCTGCCCCAGCCTGTGGCACTGCCTGGGGTTGGTGTGACCCAAGGGCAGGACCCAGCACTGGACCTTGTTGAACCTCACACCATTGGCCTCAGCCCATTGATCCAGCCTGTCCTGAGCCCTCTGCAGAGCCTTCATCCCTCCTGCAGATCAACACTCCCACCCAAATCAGTGTCATCTGTAAACTGAGAATGCACTTGATCCCCTTGTCCGGAGCATCAATAAAGATATTAAAGAAAACTGGGACCCGAAAAGAGTCCTGGGGAACACCACTAGTGACCACTAACTTTTGGAACAAAACAAACTTTTAGAATCTTGCTTTTGCTCTCTTACCTAGACAGTGAAAAGGTAACAGAACAAGCATTCTTCTGCAATATTTCATATAAGAAATCAGATTACGTATTTTAAATACATGCAAACATGTCTGTATTTTATTTAATTAACTTAGTTTTTAAATACAAACATACAAACACCCATAGTCAAAGGAAAAAGAAAATAAGAGGTGCAGTAAGAAATTGTGACAATCCTTCTGTCTTTGAGAAGAGATAAATGGATGAAAACAACAAATCAAGTATTCTGGATACTTCTCATCATGAGCCAAGACTCTTCACTTAGAAAAGATTTCTCAAAACACACATACATGCATAAAAGTCGTATGATCAGAAATGGTTAAGAGATACTTTAACAAGTATCTGCTATAGAATACACACATCCAGTTCTTGATTAAGAATTGTATTTACCTACACAAATTATGTATTTGATATAGCTTAGGTAGCAGAACATATAAACTAGACTGGAAATGATTCACCCTATTTTTGAAAAAATCCAAAAAGTGACATTACAACTAAGTGCACATAATGCACATAACACACTCAAGCACTATCTATACTATCCCCAAGGAGTGACTCCTTTATGAAGGAAAATTTACTGGGGTTTTTTTGTTTGTTTGTTTGTTTTTTTTTTTACAAAATACATGCTTAAACAGGAACATGTATATTTAAATCCATGGACCAGTGGTAATAAAGAGGAAACAACATGCCTTCCACATGTACTTATCTCAAAACTTTCTTGAAACAAGTTCAGGTAAGAAAACTACCATGCAATTATATCTCCTGAAACTTTCCTCAAGAACTGAGTCAAATTCTACCACACATTATTTAAAAGAGGTTACAGGCTTGCTAAAAAATCTAATAAATATCCTCAATATTAATAATAAATAATAAAGAAGACATACAGAAATTCTAGAATATAAAGATGATCTAAGTGGGTTTTAAATTAGAAGAGCATTAGACTTCACAAGAACTCTCATCAGGGGAGTGTTTTCTTCCTTGTCATGAACAACCTCACTTGAGACTCAGAGTCAGAATTGGGAGCCGAATAGCTTGCCTGAATATAGAAACTTTTAAAAAAATCCTACAACCATAAAACAACTATTGCTCCAAAATCCAATAAATCCAACAAGAGAACAGTTCTCAAAGAATATAACTCATTATAAGTTGGCTGCCTTTGCAACACTTCCAGTGGTGCAGTAAATATATTGGTTTTGACAAATGTTCACATAGTTACCTGAGCCAGTTCTCATAAGTGAAAGTTTATACATACAATAAACACAAGGAACATACACTTCCTTGAGCAGCCACATGAGCCATACTAAAATTACAGTCCAGTTTGTATTTCTGTATAATTTAACCACTGCAATCCAAGAAATTACATTAAGGAGACACATCACACACTTTCCACTCCTCCTGCTTTTCACTCTTTATTTCTGAGGTCAGGATTTGTAAAACTTTTCTCAACTTTATCAGCTGAGATTTTTAACTCCAGCTGTACCAATCTACCATTTTAAAATTTAAAATAACTACCAATTAAAAATAACTGACAGTTACAATGAGATTTAGACATTGCATGTTTTATAAACAAAGGAATAAATGCCATACCTCCAAGTTCTTTCACGTTCAAAATTGCATTCTGGAATGGCACTGCTTTGATACTAAAACCTGAGGAGAGAAATAAAGAGCATTTGTAAGCTATTTGTTAAAGGAGCCATTTGGAATCAATTGCATATATTCAGAAAAAAAAACCAAAAAACTTTTTCCATCAAGAACCAGGATTTTGCCTAAGAAATCTGTTTCAATGTGTTTAAAAAGTCAGTTTTAAGGGAATGGGAAGGGGGTAGGAGTTGGACAAGTTCCATGGAGTAGGACAAGAATAAATCAGGATAAGGAATGCAATTTTCAATTGTAAGTACCTGGCACACAAAATTTAGCACAAAACTTCCATCCAGACCATCTAACAGAATATCCTTCTATAAAATCATCTTTCACTGCATCTGGAGCTAAAGTGGATAATCCAGACTACCAGTAATATGAGGTGATTATTCTGCAAATTTTAGGAGACATTGAAGACAACAGGCAATTCAAATCACTGTATTCTTCCATTTAAACTTCATAGGTTTTGGTTGTACTTGGATTCCTATTCCTTTCTATAAATGTTATTAACTGAAAGATCTTTCTACAGACCTTAGTTGGATGCATTAAAATGGTCATAAGCACACTGGAAACATCTATAAATCCTCTAATAGCCTGATTTTTGCATAAAACTGAAAGAAAAATTTTAAAAAAACAACCAAATAAAAAATCACCACCAAAATGTGATCATTACCCTTAACTGAAAATTCAGATAGACAAGAGAATGTGAAAGGCTGCCAGCCATATCAATGTAGTATACACTAAATTTTTCATGTTCAGTGCATACACATATATAAGTGCACATAACACTTTATATAGGAAAAATTATGTCCACTCTTTCAGCAAAAAATATCCAGACAGACATTAAATTTATTTCCACCTAGCACAAGTAGTTTCAATGTGATTACATACCTATGAACTGAGTAAAGAAGTTTTGAGAAAATGCGTTTCACTTCACATTTATTAGCTATCATTTAAAAGAAACAATATTTTTTTCTCCCTAGTTAGACCAATAAGATGGTACAGTACTCCTACTATGGTCAGTGCTAGGTGCAATAGAGGAAAGTACAAGAAAATCTGAAGGGAATAATTATCTGATATTTTTGGCACTGTTGTCTTAAAAGAAATCCTAAACTCTTCTGAGAAAAAAATAAAAAATGGAATGGACTGAGTGGCTTTGATGAAAAAAGCAAAAATATACATTATAGTTTGAAACCTGAGTGGAGAAGTTGTCACTTTGTATTCTTGGATTCTCCACAATATTGTCTGATATGGCACATTTAAGAAGATTAATTATAAGCTGAATAACCTACATATGCATAATTTTGGTTTGCCTGCCTCGTATTCTCCAGTTGATCTGTGTTCCTCGAGTTGCCTAATTACATAATGATTTTTATTGCATCTCTCTAGAAAAAGTAAATCAATTTAATTTTTAATTAATGGTGTTTTCATTACTTCCTCTGATAGCTCTATACCTCTATTTATATTGCTGTTACTATTTCTTTCAGGGTCAAAAGTGCTAAAGCATAATTTGTTCTAACCCCAGAGATAAAGCTCAAGAGAAGGATATTTTTATTTTTTTTAAAAATGGCTCATTACTCTGCAATTTCCTTCTAACTTTTTGAGTTAAGTCACCTTCTCATAACCGTCAGATCTCTCTAACATTGCCAGTAACACCACTATAGAGGTCACAGGTTAATTATTCACAGGTTAATAAATACACTATGTTCTTGTATCTGTTTTACATTTTACTTACAGTTGTATTAAATAATCTTATGTTCTTGTAAATTAAGAAAACATACACTGAAAAACAGTTAGGGTTGCTAAGGCACAATCATGGAATTCAAGCCCATGAACCGCAGCTACAGTACAAAGCCATGTAACTATAAACATAAGGTACTTGCACAACACTTAGTATCCATTCCATCAGCAAATCAACCTCAGTAACTGCTGCAGCCACTGAACCAGATTTCTTCAACCTCCATGACCTAATCTGCCCTCTTTCTGAACTTTCCAGCCAGGTATTCCCTCTTATTACTTCACATGTTTGTTTCTGGCTTTTCTGGTGCTGTTTTGTTCTTTGTTTGTTTTTTGTTGGTTGCTTGGTTTTGTTTTGGGTTCTTTTCAATCAAAACATGCTTTTCAGTATTAGGCATTCTGGTTCACCATTAACAACATGCCTATTCAAATTTTTTGGACTTACGATACCTCTTATCTGTGATTGCACTGTCTGTTTTATATATCTTCTCAGTACTGCTGAAACTTTCTGCAAATTGATTCTTTGATCACAATCTTCCCTTACTACATAAACAAGCCTGTTGCTCATCTAAAAAGCTGGGATTATCACCAAAAAAATGTATTTCCATTACATTTATTCTTTTGATTTCTAGCAGATAACACAAGGCAGTGTGGACCAAGTATGTTCAGGAATAAATCCCAATTTTAGTTTCAGAGCATCACTGTCCTATTCTATTTTACAGCAGGTTCTCCTCCTTTCTCTCCAATATATAGTGAGACTGTTTAAAAAACAAAAGTAAAATGAGAAGAAGTATTTTAATGTATGTCTACAGTACAGTGCTACTGTATGTTATGGTTCTGCTTCATTAGATCACACTGTTTAGACTTTTAACATATTTCAAACAGTATGTTTTCATGGATATTCCCCAATGTATGAACAAATACTGAAAGAAAGTAATGATAGTTCCAAAGTGATCCGTTAGCTACTTTCAACAGCAAGTTAAGTAGGCTGAAGCCCTCTACAGCCTTTGCTATGTGTTTCAGGAGTCATCTTTGGGCAACATTCCAGCACAATATGGAATAAGGGCAGCATCCTACCTGTGGTAGACACAATATTCTCCGGGCTTTCGCTGCAGAGCTGAGACAGAAGAGTTGTCTTGCCAGAACCAGAGAGGCCTATGCAAACCAAGTCATACTCGGGTCGTGGTGGTGGCGGTCCCTTGCAGCAAAGGGCTCTAAAACACTGCCAGGGTAGGGCAAAACAAACAAAACAAAAACAAAAGGAAGAGGTTACTTTTCTTTTTTGCAAATGTTTATTCATTTAACCTTCTAAGAAGGAAGTTTATAAACTTAAAGGCACTGGTAAGAAGCAAATTATTATTCCAACTTATTATTTTGACTAAGTAAACAATTAATAGACTAAGACCACCTCAACCAAAATCTAGACCAACTTTATAAGAAAACAAACATACATTTTAACTTTTCACCTAAACCTCAAAAAGCTGGTGTGAGGAATATGACATCCATTTCCCAAATGCTCACAAACTGCACAAAACAGTGCACACCTGCTCACACCACGAGACAGGCATGTGCCCTATACAGCTTTGCAGCTGATTATGCACAAGTTTCCTTCCTGTGCCAATTTCATGCAATACCATGTGAATATCAGAGCCAATCCTAAGCAGCTGCTGACCAGGCTCTACCTGTTGTCAGAGAAAAGAATCAGAGACACTTGCTCCACTAATGTCCTTTCTGGGATTGTTTTGTCATTAATTGTTGCTCATAACAACAGCTGTTAAAGGGTACAGCGTGCAAGTAAATCAATCAATCAATCTTGCTGGACATACCTCTAGTGAAAAACAGATAGATCTCTCTCTTCCCCTGGAGAAGTATAAATTAATTGTAAACAAATGTAAACAAATGTAAACAGATGTAAACAAATAAAAAATCTCTTACACAAACTCTACTTCACAGTTCTGCTCACTTAAACAGTTTTGTCAAAGTAGCCAAGTTTATCCAAAAGATTCCTCAGGCCCTTGTTAAGTTCTTTAGTTCTTTGTTTATATGCAACTTAGAAACTTTTTATGTAAAAACTTAAAAGCATACAATTCCAGGAAAGCTAGGAAGTCTATATTTTATGTACAGAGCATAATTGCCCACTAATTCCCAAGGCAGACTTCCACCACCCCAATATATATAAATATAAAAATAAATATATATTTTTTTATATATTTATATTTATACATATAAAATAACCTTTTCCCCAGTATCTGCCACCTTTATATCAACGGACGACATCTGCTCTAATAGCAAAGGAAAACATGTCTGTGCAATCAGCCCTTTCTCACACATTCTGTTTTTACACAGCCCCAGCTCTTTATTCCCATCTTAACCACAAGTCTGCACTGCACTGATTGCAGGAAAAGAAATCCAGTCTTTACAACCTTAACCTACTTTGTCTTGACAACTGCCCAGGTTTTCTCGCTGAGGGCTACTGGAGGAGCAGAGAAACTGCACTGATATCAGTTAGGCTCTAATACAATCAGTGGGGTCTGATCCTGTGAGCAAGTCGTCCAGTGAGAATGTGATTATAAAAGGACGGCTCACTCAACGCAGAACTTTAATTGGATTCTTTCAGTATAGATGGTAAGCTATTACACCTGCTGCCAAAACAGTTATTCATTTGAAGAAGCAAAAGACAAACTCAGTGAAAGCTACAAAACTACTTCAGCACCTTTTAAAAGAGAGAAAGGAAACATTTTAGGAGAAGTAAGAATATGTACAATAATATTAAAGCTGAATAAAGGCAGCAGATTTTAAAAATAATATCTGTCAAGATTTTATTTAAGACAGTTGGCCCTTGTATGTCTCCATACCTTAAAGGAATACACTTGCCTTCTAGCTTTATTTACTGATGTTCTACTTACTGGTTTGTACCTATCTCATAGGTTCTACAAAGCCAAAGCAAACATTCTACTGTGGTACTTAAGTGAGAAAGGCCAACTGAGTTCATTGAACAAGATAAACTCCCTTAAACAGAGCTTCCAGTTAATGGATATCAAGCTGAAGGCCACATAAAATCCTTCAGAGCTTGCCAGAGCTCCTGAGGCTGTGTGTCAGACCCTCTACAGACAGTCTTTAAAAGGATTAAATTTGTCTCTGTCATCATGGCATCTTTGCAACAACCTCTTGATGTCACTTTGAAAAATATAAAGGAATAGACAAGCTGATGCAATGCTGTACTTCTCTGTCCAGCCACTGTGTTGCTTCTTATGCAACCAGACATGACCCTCAGGCCCTGACAACATCTAATAACATATAGTTCTGTGAAAGATAATTTCTGCTCTTTGCAGAGCATATATGGAGGCTCTGTGGGTGTCAGGAAGGTTTTGTGAACTTCAAGATCTCTCAACTGTGAAGTCCTTAAGTCTAACTTAGTCTGGAGAATCTTTATATGCTGTGGATGAAACACAAGATCAAAAATCCAGGTCAGAGTGCATCTCCAAAGCAGCACATGCAGACTCACCACCCTCTCACTTACCCATTGTTACACAGTTAGGCATGAACATTTCAGACAGACTCCTAGAAGACAGGAACATGGCTCCCTCTAGACCACCCTTCTACTTTATTTGATATGACTCCCCTACCTTTGCTGTATTCATGTCTTTGTCCTTCTGCTAGGCTAATTTCCTTCACTAAATCAGTTTAGTTGTAGTGAAAACATTTTTTTAATACTCTAGCTTCAAAAAGCTGGTGAAACTTAAGCTATTGTGTATAGCACTTAACAGCAGCTGAGATGAGAAATTCTAGAGCACATTGAAGGGGATGCTTGTAATAACAGATTTAGACTTTATAAACTTGTTTTGCAATCCTCCTTACTCAAGCTCAATGAACATCTTTCCCACTGGAAATATCACTATACAAACACCCTGATCACTCTCTTCCTGTTCTCTCAGCAGCCTAAAGTTACCTGCTTCCTAACAAAGTTAGGGCAAATTAAGTATCCATTATAGAGACTAAACCTTTATTATCACAACTGTGGCAGCCACATTTAGTAGCTACACAGTATCTGTGGGGAGTAGAAAATTCAGAAGTCCCGTACCATTCAAATAGAATTGCATCTTTTAGCTTATATACATTTTAATGTAGACAGGAAATGCATCCTGAAATATTTTATAACCATGGACTAGAACTACACATTATTTATGTCATCACGTATTACAGTGCACTCTGGAAACCACAAAACTGCATGAACTGTGTATCAGTAACTAAAGAAATCATTCCAGAACTCCAAAACACAAATATATCAAAAACATTGAGAGAGTTGCTCAATTCACAACTGACTTTCCCAAACCAGCATAGGCCACTCCATTTAGGCAACCCAAAAGGCATTAAAAAGCTTGAATTAACATGTATAGACCTGGAAGTCTCCTCCATTGATTCCCAAACCTGATTTGCTCGAAGGACAATAATATCCTGCCTTTTAGGTATTACGAAACAAACTCTAAACCAAACAGTGACTCTTAGAAGAACTGTCAGAGCGGACAGAGAAGAAAACATTGGACTACTGCAAATACAGGGTCACGCAGAGCTAGTTGGCACAGTGACTGAAAGGTTGCTTGGGATATAGTCATGTATTCAGACCTCACTACTAGAAACAAAAATGGAACATTATTTTGATATCATCATATCAGGGTAAGACCTTACTTAGTATAAAGGAAATGAGGTTTCAGATTGTCAGCTTTTGTACTTTTTGAGAATATGACACTCAAAGCTATAGCCACTAGGTGGGGAAAATAGGCATCCAAAGAGAGGCAGGCAGGGAGAGTCAGGAGTTAATTTTTTTAATGAACAAACATATTTTTAAGTACTGAAAATAAAACAATAAGATACCTTCAAAAATGTATGCATTTAAGCAGTTTTTGAAAACAACGATGGATTTATCCAGGAAACTGGGAGTAATAGGTGGTGCAGTCTGCAGAAATCTTTGCAATATTCAGCAGCACTGTTACTTTCCTTTTACTTTTCAGTGTGCATGAATGCTGCACATGCATGTAGAATCATTTTGTAAGAGTTAAGGGAAGAAGCTAGCCAGTTCTACTCCTCCTTACACATTTCTAACCCAACCAGATGATTCTGGGCTTTAGGCAGACAAGTATTTATGCTGAAAATCCTAGACAGTGTCCCTTAAAGCCCTATGGAGATTTCTTCTGGGAAAAGCATATTGTATTTATAGCAGGGATGGCAAAACACTTCTGATATATGTGCCAATCAGAGATCACAGATTGAAGCTCTGGGCAGCAAATGTCCCTGAATTAGTACTCCCTACAACACATTAAACTGCCTCCAGCTGTTGAGTCTGTCTTTGCCTACTCATTGTGCTTCTCGTTTCACTCTCCTTTTTGGGGTGAAATACTCCATTATTTCTGCTTTGTTCTGGACCCATCTCCTGTCTGTTTCTTTTGTTGCCACTATTTAATAGGGACAAACAGAAGCAAGGGATTTCATGCTTAGTTGGTTAAACACACACACTCTCATGGAAAAATACCCTAAGTTAGTGCAGCACTAATGCTAACAAACCAAGCATTCAGAACTCTTGAAATACAGAATTAAGGTTGAAAGCTCAGCCCTAACTCTGCTCCCTTCCCCCCTCCTGGTTATACTTATGGATATGGTCTCCTTTTACAATTTATTTTTCAGTTAAGGTACCTTTGAACAAATAGACTTCTAGTACTTGCACACACTTTTATGCAGAGGACTGGTTAATCATCTGAAGCTGTTGATAAACCTCAAGAAGTTTATCAAAAAAAGTAATGTTTGCACACAGTAGGTTCCATAGATCTGATGTTGTCTGAGATCATGCAAGCACAAAGAAACCTCAAACCTTGAAGAGATAATGTGAAGAGGCGACACAAAAACACAAGACAGACGATTATAATGTTAACGATATGAAACAACTGGGAACAGCAGTGGAATAATTGAATGCAAGTAATAAAACACACAAGGCACCAGAATTAAATTATACACTGTGTGGGGCTGGGGAGGTGAAGAATATATAAATAAACTAAATATTAACTGTACGAATATATTAACTTTAAATAAGTACAACAAAATTCAGTGCATTTCACAGTGTGAGCTGAAGTTGCAGGCTCCTCAGTATCCATACTGCTGTACAGGTGGTTACATCTCTACAAAAAAAAAAAAAAAACAAAACCCAGGGTTCATCTCCATATATATGACTTC